GCGTACAGACACTACTGTGCAAAGATGTTGGCAGCAATGGTTGCTACAAAGAAAATGCCAATGAAATGAAGGCTCTGGAAGGCCAAGGATCACAAATGCGAGGCAAGATAGGATGACTGTTCACCAGGCCCGAACCGCCCCAACGGAATCATTGTTGAGTATTCAGCGCACTACAGCCCCGTCTATATCTCCCGTGGTACCATACACCATCTGACGGCGCTTGTCTGAGGCGGGGTTACACTCACAAAGGCCTTTAAGACGTTTGTCTTTGACCCACAACATCGGCTGAGTCATCTGGAGTGGTGTCACAGCCAATTATCATGGCTGCCATCAGACTGGCATCGTACAGTGTTCAGTGATGAATCCCACTTCACTCTTGAAGCAGATGACCACCATGTTCATGTCTGGAGATTGCGGGGCCAGCGGTCCCAATCAGCCTTTGTTTTACAAAGGCATACAGCCAATAAACTCTGATATGATGGTGTGGGGCACTATTTCTTATGACAGCAGGTCATCTTTAGTCATCTTCCGTACATCTTTAACAGCTCAACGATATGTTGATACCATCCTGCAACTGCTTGCATTACCTTTCATGGCACGTCATCCTGGGGCCATTTTCCAACAAGATAATGCTAGACCACATACCGCTCGCATATCTCTGGACTGTTTAGTTGTGGTTGATACTCTTATTTGGCCAGCAAGGTCACTAGACCTTTCACCAATCAAGTTTGTCTGAGGCATGGTAGGCCGCCAGATTCGGGCACCACAAAATATCACAGATCTGGAACGACATTGATGAATGCCTGGCAGAATGTGTTGCAGGATGACATTAGGAACCCATACTACTCCTTGCCTTGACGAATTCAAGCATGCATTGCCGCCAGGGGCAGTTCGACCAACTACTAATTTGAACACTCAATGGGTGGTTGTGAGCAATGAAGAGGCACTATGACCTTGATTTTTTAATCATTTTATTATCTGTGTATGAGCTATACACATCTTCAATTTCATCGAAAATAAACACTTCCTTCATAGTGCTTTGATTTTTTTTGCAAAAGAGTGTATTTCCATCATTGGAAGCTGTATTACAAAATAGTGATTTAATGGTTAAAAATGTTACTCATATTTCACTTGTAGAACCAGAAAAACATTTTATTTTCATGCTTTGTGTAATATTTCTTTCATATGAAGTCCTGCATTCAGACGCGTCATGCTTTTGTAGCCATGGACCTTATAAGAAATAGACTAACCCAAACGGGTTTTCTCCCTCGTCTGAGGCATTGCCGGCTGCCACCTTGATCACGTCCGGAGGAGTAGGGACGACTTGCACAAATTTAATATTGGTTGCCTATTGCAGCGTGTATAATTGTCAAGCAAAAGCTAATTGTAGCGCCTCATTTCACAAATTAGAATTTCTACATATTCTTATTTTTGAAATTGAGATTGATTTTTAAAAATTTAGCATATTTATCAAGCATAATTAACATTCCAAATAATTATGAAGCTATTGCATGCTTTCAGGATTGGATATTTTTTTAGCTTTTCCTATGCCGTACGGAAATTTGTAACTACTTCTTTTAGAAAATAATATTTTAAATCTGAGCCAATAGAAAATTTCAAACAAGCAATTTTCTCTTTCAATTTTTATGCTTTTTATTGGTGTAAATAAGTAAAAAATACTAAAATATTTAAAAACGAATTTTTTATAGTTTTGTTTAAAATTCTAAACTGTGCTGCTTTTTTAAAATTATAGATGAGTAATATAGCACAATTTCTATAAAGGGGTTTTATTTCAATTATATTTCATAATACATCATAGTGATAAACCCTTTTGACTCCTTAAAAATTTTTATACATTTAATTCTAATATTTAAATTGTATTTAACCATAATAATTAATTTTGCTTGTATTTTATAGTGATTATTTTTTTTTAATTTATTTTTAGTTCTGCATAAGATTTTTTTTATTTATTTACTGTTAATTTGATTTATTAGCCCAAAGCGGCGGTAGCCTAGAAAGGCTGTTAGTTTCGAAGCGGCATTTTGAGCTGTTTTACTATAAATGTCCCTGTCTCTTGCAAATTGTTACCAAATATTATCGCGCTGTATTATATATAAAAAAATTAAATAATGAAGAATCTGCACGAATGCATGTATGTTTCTCGCACTGTAACAAAAACGACGGTATCTAGAGCCATCGAATTTTGAATAATGTAATCCTCCACCCGAACATGGGCATCTGGACGGCCGAATCTCGAATTTGTTTTAATCTATTTCATATTTTGTAAAACTTTAACGAATTTTTGATTAACAAACTCAAAGAGTTCAGAGCGACCACTGTACGGAAAATTACAGTTTTATCTTCAGCGGAAATTCTAAAGATATGCTGTTTTCAAATGTATGTGGTTTACGGGGAAAGAACATGATATTCAATAAGTGCAGGTAACACACTAAACTTTAAAAAAAGGTTCCCTTTGGGCATAATATAAAATCTGAGTGCTTCTAGATTTGATTTTATCTTTTTTTTTTTCCCCCTTCATTATGTCAGAAAATTTTATGCTTCGAATTTTATGAATTATTAAAATAACTAATCCACTTTAATGTTAATAATTTAATGATCATATAATCAAATAAATATGATCGTTTTGAAATGTTATTATAGTTTGGAAAATCACTGCCTGAAAATGTTCATTAAATTTAAAAAAAAAAAAAAATTATCAGATCTTGTTTAATTTTACCATATTTATTTCAAAGTATCACGTACTATCAATCTTATTTAATTTTACGTTATTTGTACGCAAAATTAAGTTAATAAATTTTGTGCTTAGAGTTTTTACCGTTTTACCAAAGTAAAGATGTTTGTACAAGAAGTACGCGTGAAAAAAATGCGCGAAATGCAGTAAAAAGTGCTTTAATGAGGTATATTAAAATCCTATTTGGAAAAAAGTGTGGCTTTCATAATCTCATCATTATACAACGTATCACATTTAATAATTAAAAAGAGTTATGTGATACAAACGTTATAGGTTTCAGTGTTAAAGTAAACCAGATCGTCCCTACTCTTTCTTGCCGACATGTCGGTGATGCGCGCTCCGCCCACTGGGTTAGTCTATCTCTTATAAGGTCCATGTTTGTAGCAGTGAATGATTTAACGAAAGCTGATAACTCATTTTAACCCCTACAGTTAACTTCCAACGATGAAGAATTAGTTACAAATGATTAACTTAGGTAGTTAAATATACTTAGTCCTTATAGCTTTGTTTTTAAAAATTATTTCATAAAAGAGCATTATTAAGATCATAATAAGATAATTTTACAATTTAAAATGACAAACTTTATACATGTAATTTATGACAATTGCAAAATGATATTAGAATAGTTATATATTAAAAGCTACAGAAAATTTATCTTTTATAGCAATAAAACACAGTGAAAAATTTATGCACCCTTTTAATTTGAAACGTTAAAATCTTTTAAGTAATTTATAGCAATTTCCTTCCTTTAGCACCTTTTCTAAGTTTGTCTCAATAAATAAATCAACGTTCCTATTGGTTTCTGTTTCATCTCCTAATTTATAAATGCTTCAACAATATATCTTCTAAGAATAATTTTCTTTCACTTCATGTAATCATTTTCTTCCTCAATAAGTTTTTCTCTTTGTTTTAGAATTTTCATATTTAATCAAAGATTTCTGTTATTCTACATGTATTAAGTATGTGTAAAAGATATGACTAATTTTCTTTCTTTAATAAGTTGAGCATAAATACTCGTATTAAATAATATATGGTCAAGGCTGGCAGTAGAATTTTTTCAATTTAGTGAAGCACACAGCAATAAAAATTTGGGATTTAAAAATTTTTATCATTTAAGCCAGACACTGGGCAGAAAAATTGGGTGGGAAAATGTTAAAATTTAAGGAGTCACTGACAAAATTAATCCTTTTATTTCACTTTTTTATTAACATAAAAAATTCTTTATTGTAGAACGATTTTCGTAATATTCCATTCTTGTGTCTTAAGAAAAGAAGAGAAAATAAAAGGAAAATAAACATTTTAAGAGAATGACTCCGAAGAACAGAAGTAGAAAATTAAAATAATTTTGCTTTAAATGTTCTCCCCTCCCCTACCCCAAAGAAAAATTAATCACAAATTTCCCGTTAAATGCATCCATTATATGAAAAAATTATGAAGATATTTTCCCCTCTGTCAAACTTTTATGGAATTTTATATTTCCATATATACAACCTTGCCTTCAATTTCAAGGATGCAAGGTATAAAATAAAATTTAAAAAGTATCCCTACTAACTCTATGAGCAAAAAGCCATAATTTTTCCAACTTTTGGAAAAAAATCAGAAAAGAAAAAGTGTAAACTGAATTTAACAGAGAAAAGTAAGATATACATTTGAACATTTTGAAGCGATCATATGGGATACAGCTGTTATAATGAAAATATACTAAAGAAGACAAATGAAATTAATTTTATAATAATTACACTAGCTCTACTGCTTTTGCTACATGCTTCAGAAACTTCCACAGTTTCTGAAGCCCTTATCAAAAGCAAAAAAGCTAACACCTTGTTTATTTTTCAGTCCTGTGCTTTAAAGCATTTATTATTTTATTTATTTACGGAATCAAAATATTGCCAAGTTACCAAAATGAAGAGCAGTTTCACCTTAAAGTATGACATCAGCAATAAAAACGTATTATTTTAATATTTATTTCACCACTGGTTGAAGAAAAGATAGAGAGTTTTTGAATAAATACCCAGTATACATAGGTTCCTTACCTGCACAGAAATGATGTTTTTCAGTTTTTACAAATGTCTTTTAATATGCTTTACACACGCAGCATTGCTTTAATTGGTATGCCTAACATTTAACTAGAAATATTTGCAAACTCATTTCCCCTTCCTAAGATTCCTGTGGAGTCTTGTATCAGTTTTGTGAATGTTATACACTGAAACATTTGATACTGGAAATAAATAGGTATAGTCTACAGTACTTGTTTATCATGAATAGAAATACCAAACACCTTTTTCATGACAAGCACAAGGCAGACATCTCTATCAGTAATGGCACAGCTGCGATCAGTATCTGCATTAAATTCAGAAAGAGCAAAATTTAACACAAAACACTTATAATTTATGATATGTATATGGGATGAAACGTTCAGCTACATTTCAGGTCTAGAAGTATTTATCCATGTAGCACATTTCTTTAGGCAACAGAGTTAAACACTGAGCACTAATTATTATGCAAAAATGCTTTGAGCAATGTCTCCTCTTGTGGAAACAAACAAATGCTGAATTGCATATTCTGACCAAATGAAAATTTATATACATCACACAGGCTCACCGGTAAGCTTTATGCCATTTCATATATCTCTACATATCCTCAATTCTGACACTGAGAGCCTCTCTACATTTTATATATTTTGTTCCCTGTAAATTATGTCATTGGGTCAGATCAAAGCAGACATGAACTCGCATAAAACATTTCTTAGCTGCATGGACAAGTGCTTACTGCAAAGGGAAACAAAAGTTGTTACTAATATATGCTGAAAGGAAGAGTTTCTCTTCTGTGTATATTTCTACAAATTCTTCATCACACTAAATAACTTGTTACTTACGTAACTCATGATGTTTTTCCTAAAGCTGATATCTATTTAAATCATCTTTAAATGAATTTTTACATACCTTACACACAAGGTTTCTCTCCTACGTGAATAAGCATTGTTTAAATCACACTTTTCACTAAACATTTTCCTAGATAACTCAAAGATGAGATTTCTGTCCTCTGTGAATAAGCATATGCACATTTAAATTCCACTTTTGACTAAATGACCTTTGACATACTTCACACACATGAGGCTTCTCTCCTGTGTGAATAAGCCCATGCTTGTTTAAACTACCTTTGTTACTAAATGTCTTCTTACATACCTCACACACATGAGGTTTCTCTACTGTGTGAATAAGCATATGCTTGTTTAAAGTATCCTTTACACGAAATGTCTTCTTACATAGTTCACACATATGAGGTTTCTCTGTGTGAATAAGCATATGCTTGTTTAAATGAGTTTTTTGATTAAATGATTTTTTACATACTTCACACATGTGAGGCTTCTCTCCTGTGTGAATAAGTTCATGCTTATTTAAATGATGCTTTCGTCTAAATGACTTATTACATACTTCACACACATGAGTTTTCTCTCCGGTGTGAGTTAGCATATGATTGTTTAATATACTCCTTTCATTAAATGACTTGTCGCATACTTCACAAACATGAGGTTTCTCCCCAGTGTGAGTAAGCATATGCTGTCTTAAACTACACTTTTGTCTAAATAATTTCATACACACTTCACACACATGAGGTTTCTCTCCAGTGTGAATTAGCATATGCTTCTTTAAACTATTATTCCCTGTAAATGATTTCATACATACTTCGCACATATAAGGTTTCTCCCCTGTGTGGATAATCATATGCTCATTTAAATTCCCCTTTTGACTAAATGACTTCTTACATACTTCACAGACATGAGGTTTCTCTCCTGTGTGAATAAGCATATGCATTTTCAAACCAATCTTTTGTCTAAATGACATCTTACATACTTTGCACACATGAGGTTTCTCTCCTGTATGAATGAGCATATGTTCATTTAAATTCCCCTTTTGACTAAATGACTTCTTACATACTTCACAAATATGAGGCTTCTCTCCTGTGTGAATAACCTCATGCATTTTTAAACCAACCTTTTGTCTAAATGACATCTTGCATACTTTGCACATATGAGGTTTCTCTCCTGTATGAATGAGCATGTGCTCCTTTAAACCACACTGAAACCTAAATGACTTCTTACATACTTCACACACACGAGGTTTCATACTTGAGTGAGTGAGTGTATGCTCTTTTAAAATACTACTTTGTCTAAACGATTTATTACAAATCTCATGTAAATGAAGTTTTACCTTCTGTTTGGGTATGCATGTGCTTTTTTAAAATATTGCTTTTTCCAAATGATTTGTTACGTATGTACTAGAACATGTAATTTCTGCCCTACATAGGCAACTATCACCGTCAGTCTTGATACCATATAACTCGCTACACATCTCAAGATGACGTTCTGTACGAATGCAAAATGGGTTACTTTATAATGATTTCAGCCACAGTATTCATGGAAGCTTCCCTCTAGCTTTTGCTATCTCACGAAAATACATGTGATTATCTTCGTAAAATTATCAACGCGTGCCATGCATGAGACTTATCTGATGTTTGATGTATTCATGGATTATCCTCATAAAATTTTCAATGCATGCTGGGTTCAATCTGTAATGTAACTTATCTAGTGTTTGATGTATGCATACCTTAATTCCCAGGGACATTTCATTAATACTAATTTATTATATTTAACACAAATATGATTTTTCGTCCAATTACATACCTATGTTTAATTATAAGGTAATACAATGTTCCCATATATGCAGACATCGATTACAGAAAATTTTGATTTTTTTTTTTTAGTTATTAGTTTGAGTAACAGTTTAAAGATGGTACCTATTTGAAAGTATTAAACAGTTTCCGCATTTTACATGACAAACCTTGCGAAGTACATTATCCTAAAAATTACCGAAACCAATTTACTCTTTTTTTGCTTACATCTCATTTATACAAAGAACTGAGTATGAACTCCGTGATACAGACAGACAGACAGACAAAGTAGACAGATGTCTTTTGTTGCACCCGCTAAGTCTTTCTGCACCGATGGGCGAAAAATCAAGCATAGGTGCGAAGGAAAGGTATATAGAAAGGAGGGCAATTTCGTATTTCACTCCGTGATACAATGTAAATCCTGCACATGCTAAGGCTTTCTGCCCGCAGATCGCAACACCAATCTTTGAAATGGCAAATAAAAGGAAAGAAATTCTGTTTGAGAGAAACGCAGATAAAAGGGAGGGTTAAAAGAAGAAAGGATATTGTGAAAAACAATCAGATATTGTAAAAAAGATTGTAGAAAGGATTGTGTGTCCAGAAAAGATTAAGGCTGTTCTCCGAACAATAACCGAAAAGAGAATAAGGATAAATTTAAGACAATCATTAAAAAAAAAAAAAAAAAAAAAAACGCCTTATGGTCGCAATATAAAATCTGCTTTCTTTTACACATACCTAGACGTTTAAAGAGCATTTGGGCTAAAAATATTTAACGATAGCATTACTTTAGAATTGAAATTAGGTATTAGTAAGCATTACTTTAGTACTAAATATTGAAATTTTTATACAAAATATAAATAAATAAATAAAAGAAATATTTGCTCCACGTTCGTACGCATTCCTAATTTCATGGAGCAAGAATTTTCTCTTTTCCTCTCTTGTTAGCCAAGACTACAAACTACGAACTCTTCCGAGAAACTACAAGAACAAGATCAACAAACTACAGTCTCTTCCAAGAAAAAAGCCCTTCTCCCCACTTAACCTTTAGCGGCACGCTATGCCGATACACCTAAAACTTTCTCTCTGTACACACAGAAAAAATGAATGAAAAAGGGTTCATAGGTTAGTATAGGTTACTCAAAACATTCTTTATTTATACTAGATGGCAGCACAACACAGAACAGTTCATATATTTCAGCCATGTTTAGTTTTTAAAGATCCTCATTTTTCAAAAAAATCTTTCAGATTTTTTTAGGATATAAAAGGAATTTATTGAAAAGAAATTGATATGTTATTTTCTTGGTTGTAATGTCTTTATTCTCCATTAGTTTAAAATTTTTATCTTGAAATATTGCCTACAAATCGAACCGCGAACATCAGCTTTGCCCAGAGTGGGATCACTAAAACACTAGGACCAGGCCAACAACTCTGTGTCTTTGTTTAACTTCAGCTCTCCGGTGAGCTCATATACAATAGAAAGGCGACTCCACATCTATGTTTTCATGTCCTGTTTTTCTTTCTTTCTTTCTTTTTTTTCTTTGGAGGAGGAGAAGAGCCTTGGCTGTCAACTAAGAAATTGTTGGCGTGATTTTCTGAAGGTCAGGGTGTCATGCTAAAGTGTCTTTCCTTCGTTAGATGGTGCCAGGGGTTCCACTAGAGAGAGAAATTTTAATCCTTAGTCTTTTTTCTTTTCTGTAAACAGTAGATAATTTGGTTTCGAATCCGCCTTGGATGAACGGAATTCGTACAGTCATGAGTAAGTAAAGAGAGGGTGTACAAGAAATAATATTTAAATATATATATATTTTTTTCCTTTTGAATGTTTTATGCGAATAAAATGTGATGTCAAGAAATAAAGTGTGTTTTCTGTGAAGAAGATTCTTCCTTTCAGCTGAGATAGACATCACCAGAAAAGGTATATGAATTTTGTTCTTGTTTTTAAAATCAGATAAATACGTGGAACCTGCATATGTCAGTGGATGTTGACAACTTTGATCTACAGTAATTGATTAATTACGTTATATAACTATATTAGCGTCCGCCATTCAGGATATGTTGTCGTAAAAAACTAGTTATTTATGCTTTAAAAACGGAAGTATTTGAAATATGTTTATTTTCTGAAGATGCATTTTGTTGCATGAAAGCATGCTAATATTTAAGTTGAATAGAAATAGATATTTAGTATTTTCAGCTTAAATAGATTAGAAATTTTATGTTTTTGAATAAAGATAATTTGAACTTTAAAGAAATTAATGCGTGAGAATCCAATTAAGGATTGAGGAAATAAGATTAGGTTAAAGGTATTACTTTAAGATTTAAAATAAAAAATTGAGTGCAGTTTAAAGAAGAAAGGGATGTTGATATGCTAAAGAAAAAGCGTACAACGGCATGCAGTGCTTTCACGAAAATGGTTAAGGTTCTAAGGAACGAATAGATAAATTTATGAAGTTACAAAAGATAATTGCTGAATTAAAATCTTACGACTCAGAGAGACTAGATTTATTGATTAAAGGCAAAGCCGCTGAAAATGATCTAGAAACCTAAGTTCTAAGCTTCGAGGATGAATTCATCACAACTGAAAGAAAAGTTAGTGAATTTCTAAATGTAAGCAAAGTTCCAAATGACACAATTTTTAGTAATTCTGATATCAGTAGTAACTCTAAAGTTAAACGTTATAAATTACTTAAATTGAATATAATACCTTTTGATTCTCAGTTAATTAATTATTTGCCATTTTGGGCACAGTTTAACAAGATATATGAGGATAAAGAATTAGATGATTGTGATAAGTTCCAATATTTGCTACAAGTTGAAGGACCTGGAACTCGAGCTAGGCATTTATTAGAAAGTTACCCGAAAACTTCAGAAAATTATTCGAAGGCTTTTCAAGAGCATTATGGGGATAAAGATATTCTTATCGAAGTGTACGTCAGGGAATTTTTGAAACTAATTACAGCAAGTGTTCAAGCTAGGGGTAAAGACAGATTATCATTGTGTGACTTGTTTATCAAAGTAGAAGCACATTTAAGGTCTTTCGAATACATGAGACTTGATTCAGAAAATAAATTCTTCATGACAGAATCCTGCTTACCTGATGATATTTTAAGAGCATGGCAAAGATACAATATTAGGGAAAAGGAAGATTCTTATAATGAAGCGAGTTTTCCGAAGTCGAGATTAACGTTGTTAATGAACCTTTTAAAGAGGGAGGTAGCGGTTGAAGAAATATTACAGTTAGCTAAGTCAGGCATTGAAATTATTATCCCAAAAGAGAAAGTAAAAGGGAAAATTCTGGAGAGGGATAACAAGTACCCTACTGCAGCTGGTTTGTTTGCTTCTAAAGAAATGTTGTGTTTGTTATGCGGTAAGTCGCATGAAAGTAAGGACTGCGTAGTCGTTCTCTCTGGAAGAAAAAATAAAGAAAGTCAGGGAAAAGAACTGTTGTCTGAAATGTTTACGCTGTGGCCACAGTGCCAAACTGTGTAAAGTTTTTGTACGCTGTGATGTCTGCTCAAAACCTCATGAATAGCTTTTCTGCCCCGAAATAGACAAAACGAAAGAAATTAGTGATAAAAGCAAACCTCCAACGAATATCCAGAACACACTTGCAAATCAGCAGTGCCCTCATGACACAAGAAATGCTAATTAAGGGTAATAAGATAATTAGGAAGGTTAGTGCCTTATTGGACAGTCAGTTCCAAAGCTCGACCAAGAAAAGATATGTGGGAAAATTCCACGCATTCCAAAGCAGTCTGCTCTAGAAGAGCTTAAGAAACATAGACTATATCAGATATTGTTACCGCGTTTCCAGAAATGGAAATTTTAATTGGCAGTGACGTTTATTGCCAGCTCCTAACGGGGCGAATCAAGCAGCTGAACAATGGTATAACGGTAATTCAAACAAAACTTGGATGGACAATTTGCGGTGAGTATCCATCCCAAGGTTACTTGAGTAGTGGTATAGATACGTTGAAGACTAATTTATCTCTGAGAGAACTTAACGTTCCAGATTTATGGCAGCTAGAAACAAAAGAAATTAATGATCCCGATGAAACTTTGTCTGAGAAGGAAGAAGAGCTAGCCCATGACTTGTTCCTTAATTAACTTATAAGAAGTGAAGACAGGAGTTACCGTGTTGGTCTTCCATGGACTTGTATTAACCTAAACATTCTCTCAAATAGAAATGAAGCAGAAAGACGTTAGTTTAGCGCTACCAGAAGACAAAAGCCAGCCCGTTCACCGGGATTCGAATTCCGTACTAAACTACCAGAGCTCAGAGACTTTACCTCTCGGCCACTGGTTGACTGTTTCATTTCTGTATTTCTAATAATGTTTTATTACTTTTATTACAATAAATTATGACAAATATTATTATTAATATGAATTGTATTTTGTATATTATCATATGCAAATCTCTTGCGCTTGAATGTGCCAGAATAGTATTGGTATATTTAATTATGGAAAAGCACTCTAAGGCTGTCTGCTTAAGGGCTGTCCTCGTGGAGGACTTTCTAAGGAAAACTGGCTCGTATGTACATCACATATGAGGAAAACCACGAAAACGCACATGCAGCCAGCCCGTTCGCCGGAGTCGAACCTCGGACCGAACTACCAGTATTCAGTGACTTTACTGCTAGGTCGTTGCTTGGCCTCACAACAATAAAAACGCGCGCACTATTATATACTAAAAGCAAATTTACACCAAAAGATCTCAATTATACAGTTTTTCACACGTTTCATCAGCGGAAATGATGCCATCCTAACATCCCAACATATTTTTACAGATTTGGGATTTCAGACACTAATCGTTAGGCGTGAGGCGAGCACGGAACCCCGGAGTACTACATAACAAACTTTCAAACAACAGTCTACAAGCATTCAGCAGATATTAAGGTGAAACTCGTATGTGAAAGATTGCATCCGACGTGGAAACTGAATTTAAGTCCTCCAATGCTAGTAGACATGCTATGTCTGAAATAGTATGAAAAATACTTAAAAAAGGTTTAAATAACATCTTTTTTATTTAATCATCAACTTGTAACATAAAAGGCCCGACTCATGCTGCAGACAAGAACCACTACTCGTGTCGTGTAAATTATGCCATAACAGTCAAATAATTTTAAACGTTGCCAAAGTGATCTAAGACTACGCAGTCCAATAACCAAGTTGCATAAGTAATTTTACCGGCGCATAATTTTAAAGCTTCGGCTGAGAGCGAATGCAAAGTCCAGATCATTACTTTTAGATAAAGTGCATAATTCTATCAGCCCTATGCAAAGAATATGTATTGTTAAGAAGGAAAACTTCT